GATTTTTTACAGAAAAATATTGGTAAGATTTTACCTGTTTTAAAACAGGTTAAATGCCATTTTAAAACAATGCGATTTTTAAACCATTTCAATGCAAATCAAAATTTCAGGTCCTTATTATTATTTATTTGGTGAAAAGCTGCGTAATAAGTGGTACTGTATCCTACCTTAAATGTCTGTCTTGTTTGAACTTGCTCATTCGTCTAGCCTCAAACTGAACTGTTTTTCTTCATGGAAGCTTTTAGCTTTGAGCTAATCAAATATTTCAAATTGATATTTCATGTCCATTTATCTACTTTTGTGGCAATTTCCTATGTAATAGGCGGAATTATGTATGTTATCACTTAATGAAATATGCAGTTATAAATTTATAAGCCAAATTAACTGGCGTGTTGTAATAGCAGAAACATTGTCAGCCACAGCTGCCAGTTCAAAATGGCAAATTAACACTGCAAAGGTGGCACAGAAGCGCTTCTGAAGTGGCATTTAGGTACCTTTACACAGACTAATGCTGCTCAGAGGTGGCATGAATGCATTTACACAGCAATTACAACTGTATACTTTGATATAAGTGGCTGAGGTGGGTCAGAGCAGGCATAATTTAGTCTGGCTTTTATGCAGCATTGCATCTTTACACTGAATTTTGAGCAGGCACAGACCAGCCTTAACTCAGCAGTGTAAAGACATTTATCATAAATTTAACAGTATATATTATTACAGGGATCAACATGCAATTTTTATGATCCCTCATACACCAAATTTACACCGCAATGGTGGCACAGAAGCGCTTCTGAAGTGGCATTTAAGTATCTACTCAGAGAAGGCATTAATGAATTTACAAAGTAATCACAACTGTGATACTAAGGTGAGTCAGAGCAGGCATAATTTAGTCTGGCTTTTATGTGGACTTATGTCTTTACACAGAATTTTGAGCTGGCACAGAGCAGCCTTAACTTGGCTGCGTAAAGACACTTTTATTTCATTAAAATTTTAACATTTCACAAATTCTGCAAGGTGTATGACCACAACTATACATATTATATAAAGTGGAAACAGTAGGATTACTGAGCCCAGGACCTGAGGGGCTGCACAGCTCTCATCGCTAATGACAAAGCCCTCCCACATTCTTTATCTCATCACTCTGTGAGGCTATGCAGAGCTGTCCATTACTGCCAGGGCCAATCAGTCACTTCCTCCTTTGGGATGCTTCTCTGGGTCCCATTAACAGGCTGAGGGCAAGCAACGTTTGGCAAAGGGCAGATGTGAAAGAGATGAAGAAGTGGTGGGGTATGTGCCAGATGAGAAGGAGAAAGAGGCAGAGTCGAGGCAGCTCTGTTTTCTATTTGTGGGGATTAGACTGACAGATCTGTGTTTGGTTTCGGAGGGGCCTCTGGATTCAGCTAATCCTCATCACCTGCAGGCCGGTGCCCTCATCCCTTCAAAAAGTCTCAAAAACTCCCCCTTCTGCGGCCTTATAACCCTGCACTTCGGCCCAACAAAGCAAACACTCAGCCTCAGACACAGGCCTCAAACTACGTGAGGTTGACTACAACCTCAGCCCAGAGGAAGAGAGACAGTCTTTCTCTTTGTATCCTTTCACAATCTATTAGAGCCGGCTGTGAGGTGTTGCGATGTTGGTTTTGGAGAGATAGCAATTATCTGTAGATTAAACTCAAGTGTTATGGAAACTGCTTGTCAATGTCACTCAAGAAAAGAGGAGAAGATGCCCAGATGCTCAGTGAGGAGCCGTAAGGAGGTTTTCAGGTCAGGTCAGGGGCAAAGACCTCTGTCTCCTTTAGTCTCACAATTTTTTCACACATTGTCAACAAGATCGGATCCCTCTCTTGAAATACTAATAACATAAAATTCTGCTACTCATTTCAAACTAGTTTCATACATTGCTAAGTAACAGCACAACATGAAATAACAGCTGTATTCAAATAATAGATTTTTAGGTCTATTATAATACTACTGTATGTAATAAAATACCATTTAAGTGTACTTAAAGTACTTTTAAGTACATTTTAAATCATTATGTTTTAAAAATCTTGTATTGTGCTTTAAGTAATATTTTCAGTTGCGACAGCTCAAACATGCATTTTAGTCTGGGACTATCTTAAGCCCTGTCTGTGAAACCGGGGGAAAGTGTCTTAAGAACTTGTTTGACTAACTAGCAGTTAACCAAGTGGTTATCATTCTTACTTTTCAGATTCAAATGAGATCAATCTACGTTTTTATGTAACTGACTTTAAAGTTATGAACAGTCTTGCAAAAAAAAATTAGGAGTATAACTTTTTAGGACTAGTCAAGCAGTTTATGCAACCGGCCACAGATTACATGTGGGTCAAAAACACTCAAGTTCAACTAATTGCATTTGAAATCAATTTAAACTATAAATTGATGGGTAGCTGCAGTAACTGATTACATGTAATCTGGATTATGTAATCAGATTTTAAAAATCAAGAACTTGTAATTAAAGTATATTACATTTCATAATGGTCATAATCAGATTACAGTTACTTTTTTATGGATTACATGATTACATATTATTTACAATGGCAGTAAATCATTCTTAATTTATTAAGAAAGCACCTCTCAAGCAATTAGACCAGGGATTCCCAAAAGTTTTTGTCAGCCAAACCACTTTGACGTCATATTTAAGTTCATATTAACATAATTTAATAACACATTTGCATGTTTACAGTTCGATTACGCTTAATGGCCACATTGACATGCAGGTAAACAAATTAAATATTTCTATTTTTAGTGTTCAAGGGTTTAAATTATTTATTTTACAGTTTTTTACAATGGCAGTAAATCATTCTTAATGTATTAAGAAAGCACCTCTCAAGCAATTAGACCAGGGATTCCCAAAAGTTTTTGTCAGCCAAACCACTTTGACGTCATATTTAAGTTCATATTAACATAATTTAATAACACATTTGCATGTTTACAGTTCGATTACGCTTAATGGCCACATTGACATGCAGGTAAACAAATTAAATATTTCTATTTTTAGTGTTCAAGGGTTTAAATTATTTATTTTACAGTTTTATGATTTAATTTATTATTAGCTTTTTATCAACTCACAAACCCACTGTAGTTCTTACATTTTCTTTCTCTTTGCTTTTTAACTGTATATCAATATGGTATGTTTAATGGTAAGTTTAAATCAAGTTAGATAAAAAGTCATCTAAGAAGTAGTCAGAATACATTACCTAAAATGAGTAACCTGTAACTACCCAGCTCTTGTTATACTACATTTTCTTATGCAAATAACATGCCATTAAATGTGCAAAAACATTACATTTACTTCACACTTAAGTATTCTTGTATGTTATTTCCGTAATAAGTACACTGTAAAAAATGACCGTGAATTTAACAGTAAAAGACTGTAAATATGCTACGGTAAAAACCTGTTAAATGGTTAACAGTAAATTCCCCTACTATATACGGTGAAAAACTGTATTGGAAATTAATTTTACGGTAGTATACC